AGGAAGGAAGGAAGGAAGGAAGGAAGGAAGGAAGGAAGGAAGGAAGGAAGGAAGGAAGGAAGGAAGGAAGGAAGGAAGGAAGAGCAGTAGTCTCTTAAAGACTAACCGTATTTATTTCAGGTGGGTAGCCATGTTAGTCTGAAACAACAGAAAGAATTTGAGTCCAGTGGCACCTTTCCTGTGTAGGCACACTTCCTCAGATGCTGATTTTCTGCCCCCCAAGCCTTTCCCCTCTGCTCTATTTAAAATGCGGATTTTGCTGCCAGAGGATGTAGTGATGGCCACTGGCATAGACAGCTTTAATAGGGGATAGGCCCATCAATGGCTACTAGCTATGATACTTAAAGAGACCCCTCTCCTCCATGAATCTATCGAATCCCCTGATGTTGCCTCCTGGCCCTGGGATTCAGAGGTTGACTGCCTCTGGATGTGGAGGTTCCCCTTTGCCCCCATAGTCTAGTAGCCACTGATTCCATCTTCTTGCATTTCTCAGAAGCCGCTCTCTGAGTCAGAAAGCAGAGAAGTTTGTGAGTCAGGAAGCAGCCAGAGGGGGCGAATGCCCTTTTTTTTGGGGGGCGAATACTTACGATGATGGCATCCCCCCACTCCGAGCGCTGCAGCAACGGACACGGGCTCATGGCTGCCATCGCCATGATATAGGCTCCAAACACGGTCCCGGTCAGTGCCAGGGTCCCCAGGGCGGGGAGAGACCTGTGTGGGAACGCATAGGCGGTAAGGTGGGTCCTACTGTTCACCTTTCACTGTTTCTGAAATATACTGGGTTTGAGATGCGTATAGTGATCAGCTCATAGTTTATTAGTGATTTCAGCTTAACTCTAAGACAACTCTAGCAGGGCCAGAGTCCTGCTTATATGCATACAAAACACCCCACACACACACACCCCACACACACAACCTGTGATAGGCTATTTATAAAACATTACTACTTGATTGGTTTATTCCAGAGTCCTGGTCAGCTATTGTTCTTGTGCTCCAAGCTCAGCCAGTCTCTAGGGTGATTCAATCAGGGATTATTCAGTCCCAATACATAACATTTTCTATGTTTGCAACTAGAGGAGGCAGAGGAGGAAGAGGAAGAGGAGATTGGATTTATATAGATATCTCCCTCTCCCCCATCCCTTTCTATATCTATATCTATCCATCCATCCATCCATATCCAAGGTGATGCGATAGAGGTCCAAAATCGCTGCTTGTGGCTAAATGGCTACGAGTGAATAAACTGAAACTAAATCCTGGAAAGATAAAAAGTAATGCTGGTTGGGAAAGTGGTGGTCTTGAAGGACATTACGCTCCCCACTTTTGATGGTGCGTACAAGCTGACCTTCCCCAATGCATTTAAGAGCTTCAGGGTTATCCAAGACCCAACTTTACTGCTGGAGAAACAATGGAATTGCAAAAAAGAGGCTTTCTTTCAAATCCAGGGGTCATTTCTTGCGGGAGCTCACAGGAGCAGAGCTCCGGCAGTAAAGAGCCCAGGAGGCGGGCACATGCAACAAGCCTCGCCCCCTGCTCCCAGCAGCCCCGGGCCACGAGGAGCAAGAAGCAGCCCTTTTTCTTTTCTTCTCTCCTTCTTTCCCTTTCCCTCCTTCTTTCCTTCTCTTTCTTTCTCTCCTTCCTTCCTTCCTTCCTTCCTTCCTGCACAGATCTGTGCATTCCCTCCCCCCAGCTAGCAATCCAAAAGAGTCCAGTGGCACCTTTAAGGCCAAGGTTTATTCAGGTACAAGCTCTCCCTCCTCTGCGCTGGCAGATCTGCATGTCCCCACCCCCAATAGCTGTCAATCCAAAACAGTCCAGTGGAGCCTGAGCGGTGGGTGTTGCCTTCTGACACACTTCCGGTGATGTCAGGGGGTGTGGCCTATGCAAATAAGTGATGCTAATGAGTTATGCTAATGCGCTCCTGCACCTCTTTTTCTACGAAATGACCCCTGTTCAAATCCATCTAGCTTTGGGAAAATGACCCCTTACCTCGATATGGCTGATCTGGCCCCCCGGATCCACCCCCACGGTGACCTCGAGACCTGACTGCTGTAATCCACGGCGCATGGGCCTCCCCTCAAAACCAACTCAGAGGCTCCATCTGGTCCAGAATGCCACAGCTCGGCTATTAGGGGGAGGTAGACAGAGCGTGCCCATGACTCCCATTCTGCCGTGACCCCACTGGCTCCCCATCAGTTACTGACATAGGTGCTGACATAGAAAGCCCACCCATGGCCTTGGTCAGGACAATTTCACTTTTATCCAGACCAGGGCTTTTTTTGTAGAAAAAGCTCAGCAGGA